AATTATTTACATTCAAGGAGACCAAGGGAAGAATACAGAGAAACTTTATATATATTAATAAATCAAATATAAAAATAGTGCAAATTGTTTCTGAAATGGTGCCCACAGCCTGGCATTTCAGAGCATACTGATTTTACTGGACCTATCCTTTACCCAACAATGTTAACATATTTCCTGATACAATAAAACTTCAGAAACGTAATGAAAATTTTATCAAAATCTCACGAGATGGCAAAATGTTCCAGAACTAAGTTTATCATTCATTCAGCAAATCAAAAAAATATATTATTGTCTCAGTTATCTCTAACAATTCATATAGCTTTGTTTCAATCTATCCCTTTTTAAATAATTAAACATAATTTGTATTTTTATCACAACGTTATTAACAATTAAGAAATCCTGGTACTTAATGCATTCAGATAATAATCACATTTATGAAAGATATCCAATAAAAATCTAAAATAGGAAAAAAAAAATAAAATTTTTAACAGAAAGTAGGGATTTTTGCTGCAATATAAAATACACAAACAATATGATTCCACTTTCCGTTAAATTTTTATTTTTCCTATTTATTTGTTCAGTTTATATACGTCTATGGAATGGACACAACATCTATAAACTTTCAGTACAGCCATATCCCTGATAGCTATAACTTTTACAAGAATTAAAACCACAATCACATATTTATAAAATTCAATCCTTACTTTGGCCTACAGATGAGTGTATAAAGCAGCTAAATCCATCAATTGGCTTAAAATATATTTAAGTACACCTACGAAAAACTATGTTGTTCTAACAGTACAGAACAAGTTTGATTTTATTGTTGAGTTGAAAAGTTATGTTGTTGTAACAGCCCAGAACAAGCTTGATTTTATTGTTGAGCTGAAAAGCTATGTTGTTGTAACAGCCCAGAACAAGCTTGATTTTATTGTTGAGTTGATAAGCTATGTTGTTGTAACAGCCCAGAACAAGCTTGATTTTATTGTTGAGTTGATAAGCTATGTTGTTATAACAGCCCAGAACAAGCTTGATTTTATTGTTGAGTTGAAAAGCTATGTTGTTATAACAAACTTTTGTCATAAAGTTTTTCCTCTCTCTTTTCAACCAATGTTTAAGAATATCATACAGTTTTCTACAACAATCAAAATGTCTCTGAATAATGGTGGTTTAACCTTATTATGATGTATCTTTGGTTAAATCAGCATAATGGGGGTTAACCTTTTTTGATGTATCTTTGGTTAGATCAGATAACGGGGTTAACCTTATTATGATGTATCTTTGGTTAGCTCAGTATAACGGGGTTAACCTTATCATGATGTATCTTTGGTTAACAAGGACAACAATTCCTTGTTTGCTTAGTTAACGTTTCATGTGAAATTCAGTTCTTATTTTTGTGTTTATGTTCAAATTATAGACCAAACATGGCTGCATTGTAGTTTCTTATATTGGTAATTTGCTCACTAACACATTAGAAGTTCATTAATATCAATTGAATAAATATGGGCATGCAGTTTTGATATTTTGGACTTAGACAATAACTAATGACTTCTGAATCAGAGATTTAATAAAATGTTCTTTTATGTTCTAGTTATAACTTTGGTTGTGTTATAAACACTTGGAGACAAACGTGGTACCAAGTTGATGTTATGACATATAAAATGTTAACAACTTTATAAAAGTTCTCTTTAGTAGGTGGGATACAAAATTCTTGTCACAGTCACTCAGTGGTCTCCATAACTTTTTATTATTTTTACCAAACTTGCATCAAACAGGAAATCTCCAGAAAAGAATAAGTTAGGAAAAAGAAACAAAGATATATATACTTGCCACAGAAAAAACTTACAGTACTATAAAAAAATAATCAGTAAAATTTACTTGTTCTGACTGAGTCCTCTTAATCATTTTCTCCCGATCAGTTTTATGTTTTCTGTCAGCACCTTTAGGCTAGAAAGTAAAAGTTATTAAAGAATGGGACATTCGTAGGCAACAAACTATATCTCAAGCAAATTGTCAATCAAAAATTAACAAATATGAAAGTAAAACAGTTAATAAAGAATGTGAAATTTATAGGTAACTAAAATCAAATCTTAAGCAGGTTTCCATCTCTAGAAATGAAGAAATATATTAAGTACATTCAAGAGAAAGACTTGAGATATTTTAAGCACATAAAAGTATTTAACTATTGCATCCAATAACTTTAATGTGTAAATTAAATGACTTATAATTTACTGTTTAGAGAATACTCTTGAGTGTGAAAATGTTTAAAGTAGAATTAAAAAATAAAGATAAATTTGAACAAAAATTAATTGATTGATAACAGCTACAAATAATATGGAAACATATACAATATAATGAGCATATATCAAACTGGTACACCATCAAACTTCTACATATCAAACTGGTACACTATCGAACTCCTATATATCAAACTGGTACACCATTAAACTCCTATATATCAAACTGGTACACCATTAAACTCCTATATATCAAACTGGTACACCATTAAACTCCTATATATCAAACTGGTACACCATTAAACTCCTATATATCAAACTGATACACTATCAAAGTCTAGGTAATCCTAGTGTTCGTACACAAAGGAAATTAAAAACTACCTAAATAACCAGTTAATGCACTGAATAACAGTGGATAATTAATTGTGACAGTATGCTACATGTTATACAAACATATCAGTGGTGAGTAAAGGATTATACATCTAAACCAAAGTGTTGATGTTCAACCACTACATGAGGCCTACTTCTCTCTTCAAAATGGTGCTGATGAGCCATAAATGCAGTGAAAGTAGTCTGTTGCATCAGAAGTAGCAAATCAAAGTATAGGTTAGGCCTCTATGTCATCTTTTCTTCATGAAATTCATGTTTTGGTGAAGAAAAGAAATTCACAAATAAATAAATTCATATACTATCAAACTCTTTAAAAAAAATGTTACTTTATAACCTTTAAACTCTAGGTGGAATTTTGAAGTGGGCCATAAAGAGCCCAAAGCATGTTTTTTAAAAACTTAGAATTTGCATCAAAAAAGTATTTTATAAACAAACATCCAATAAGTATGTAATTATTATTATTAAAATACAGCAAAATTAGTTATCAATCAAATAAACAGCCCACACCCTACTAGTGTTAATTTATAATACTTTGGTCTCATTTAGAATATTGGTGCTTGCAATATATAAATGACTTCATCGGCTTATAAAAATATATCTCTGATGGTTTTGTCTGTGCTAATAAATAAAAACTTAAAGAAATATCAATAGTAAACTAATTTAATAGTTAATACCAGCTAAAAATGTGTACTTCACCTGGTCTAAACAATACCAGCTAAAAAGGTGTACTTGACATGGTCTAAACAATACCAGCTAAAAAGGTGTACTTCACCTGGTCTAAACAATACAAGCTAAAAATGTGTACTTCACCTGGTCTAAACAATACAAGCTAAAAATGTGTACTTCACCTGGTCTAAACAATACC